CATATGTTTTCACTGGGTCAACTGAGAGACACCTATGCTTAGTTCGCCAAATCAGATACCCCGAAATCCGGAATTTTCTCGGGTCTCACAAGTCAGCATGTTCATATCCCGTGATCCCAGGGATGCGCCATCCAGCGACTGAGTCCATGCAGGCACTCACCACAGTGAGCCTGACGCAGTTAGGCCACCTTGGGTCACGGTACCGTGAGAATGCAGGCACAGTACCGGGTTATGACAAACGCGTCGGAGGACCTTATCACCGATCTGTCTACCCCATGTTCGATACAATTGGAGCGATCATCTGAACGCCTACAAAACTCGCAACTCGAATGCAGCAAGCTGCAGCACCAGTTTCGTCACGGAAAAGCCGTTTCATTGTGCCTTGACAATAAACTGGTTTGTTGTGCCTATATAGGTGAGTTGAATTCGTCTTTAGTCCTATTAGGCGTGGTGAAAGTCAGGTGCTTATTCCTTTGTGTAAAAGAAGAATGAACGGGCAACCAAAGACTAACCAGCTTCTACTGTTGTGGAGTATGGTTATCCCAAATCGGATCGGGGAATTTTCAAGCCAGTTTCTAACGGAAATTTATGCAAGAACGTGTAAAACACTGGTTTGTGGGGTGAATAACCATTCAAACTTGGGTTCACCGCCACCCTATCTTAATCTTGTGAATGATTATTTGCAAAGAAAAGAACAGTTAACCGTATCTTGATTCACTTCCCCTCGGTGTCCAGCGCCATTTATTTTAGCTTAGTTTAACCCTGACGGAATTTCTATTCATGGGATCGCTGATGATCTCAAGTGAATTGATCAAGTATGGGACGTTCTTCCTGTCAGCTGCAAAGAGGCCCAAGTGTTACTATCCGCTCCTGCATGTTTCGGCGTGTTTTTGTTTACTCCGGTGACCCTGGTGTCATCCTTTACCAAGACCTTTCAGTTCATATTACGGCAACAACCAGAAGTGTTGATGCCGTGAAAGTACAGGTACCTGTCATTGAGTCGGAGGAGCAATAGTACAGTCATTCGAGAACAAAAATTTATATTTTATTGCTTGGAACAACAGAGATAAAAAATATACCTTTTCGGTATTATATACGTATATACATATATATATGACAGTGATAGGATCATTAGGAAATACAGTATAAGGTACTCTCATTCAAAATAAAATTCAGTGATTCAATATCAACTCTTAGAGGGTTAAAAACTAGCACGGACCTGAGAGTCATCTGACTATAATCACTTGATTAAGCGAACACATGAGCCCTAACACCTGCACAATTCACCTTTGGTTACTTATTTCAGGCCGGTGAATCCTGATGCCAGGGGAGTGTGCAGTGGCTGAGAACTTCATCTGAGGGCCATCGGTACGTATTCCGATAATTCCTAGGTAGATACAAAAGCTGTCACGGTATTCACCCGATGTTTTGTGTCTAGAAAACGGCCGTGCTCTGAGTTTGATGACGTCATAAAACTGTATCCGTGGGCTGAAGACGTAGAGGGACATGCGTCGCTAGACTCTTCACATTTTGCATTACCAACCAAAGTCTATCGCAGAAATCCTCTCCTTACTCAGCAAAACGAACCAACGACTTGTCAAATTTCATTCAAGAGCTTATGTCCTGCCTATTTTTACCGATAACTGTCAATCATTTCTTGAAGTTAGTAGACCGCATTTGAACTGTTCCAACAGCCGGAAAGGTCCCAATAAAAAATACAATATTTATTTATTTATTTATTTACTTATTTATTTTCGGTGAAACATATAGGGTTTTGGGTGTTGGTGGTTGCGGGATTCTGTAAAATGCGCACCCACATAACTCCTTTGAACAATCGTCGTTTTGCCCTGGCGCAATCATTCTGGTTGATCCACATCAAACGTGGGAAGCAGTGAGCTCGAGTCTGCTCCTGTTAGAGGTCATCAACAGTGCGTAACCTTGGCAACACCGAGATTTGAACTCCGCTCACCTAGCATGCAAGAAGGGTGTGGTACTACTACTCCACCAGCACACACCAGACGCATATGAATTCTTACGTTTCAACAGGTGAACATGTTCGCATGTGGTGTGCTTTGAATCTAACTTGACATCATAATAATTCACCTATTCACTTTACTTCTCCCATATATTTTGATCTCCACTTGTTTTGCTTATCCGTATCTGCCATTCACTTTGACTCAATGGCTAACCTGTCCAACACCATATGTCCATGTGTGTATATGTGCCAACCCACTTGCACATGGACGTTTGTGCCCAGCCTGCTGAGCCCGCCCTGTCCGGTCCTACCGTGATTTCCGCCTGATCGCACCGCCACGAGACTGGTCCTGGAAGGGATGACCGAAACCCAAACTACAGATCCCACATTCCGCTCACCGTTGTTTGTTGTGCAACCATTGACAATGCGCTGTACCGATCAGTGACAAGATTGTGCACGTGTAAACGTGGCAAACGTGGACAACTGAGGTTTGTTGTATAATTGAACTCACGTTTGTGTGAATAGTACCGTAGACTTTCGAACCCAATTCTTTCTTTTGATATTCGGGATCGTTAAACTCAAAGTTCCTCAGCAGTGTGGTGCTCGGTCCTTTGGAGGCGTACGAGGTACGGTGTCTTGATTGCGAATATCGATGGATGCTACGAACAGAAACCTTGGCTTTCCAAACTAAGTGAATTCTTTCAGACCTGAATTCACCCGTCCGTTCATTCAATGGTCGAAGTAAGCGTTTCCGTGATTTTGATGTTCCAACAACACTTAGAGTCAGATTCGGTGAAAATTCGGTTTTGAGCTGAGAACATCTACCAACTATGATAACAATGAACTGCCTTTTGTGCAGGAGAGATGGACAAAAACAACGACGCAGTTTGGAAACACATGTTGTACGGCTCAGGGGTGGATGGATAAATAGCAGCAAGGTTCTCACGGATGAACGGGATATTGGGGACTGAACATCAAAGGAGGAATAGGTGTAGTTGAGCAAAATTTTATCCTGTTTTCGAGTTGAAGAGAAGTGAAAAAAACGTATACATGTCCAGATTATCACCGACAAGCATTTCACCAGTTATCTTCTTGCGACGATTATTGAATTTCAATGTAGACCTCATATCAGATTAGGCGGAGCATGTATGGAAAATCATGCAACATGCATACAGATTTGTTCGACCTAAGGTGTTTTGATATAAGCTAATCCTATTTTGATATTTCATAGTGAGTATGGTGTTTTTTTTTTGTTTCAAAACATTCCAGCCCAATTTGTCAGCTATTGGCCATGTACAAGTTGTATGTTGGTTCCAACTGCCACAGTTTTGGTTATCGGAAACTGGAAGAACAGAGAGGATCCGGCCAAGATTGAGAAGCACGATCAGCTAGTTCTGAAAACTGGGCCTGAAAGCCGCGAGTAAACGTCAAGAGTTCGCCGGAATATTGGTATTCGGACATTATGATGAATAAACACTAACCTAATGTCAACTAACAGAGAGGACAGGAGTGGTATGCCTTAGTCCGTGTTAGAAACCTCTCATTGTGTATTTTCTTCTTTTGAGATCGAAGTTTGCAACAGAGCGATCTTCAGCTATGCCCACAATAAATACTTCGAGCCAGAAATACTCTTTTATTGTTTGTAGTTACAAGCTTTCATTCTGGACACTATTTTGCAAGTCTCTACTTAGTTCTGAAGTAATATAAAAGAATATGACTCAGGAAAAGCACTTTTCTTATTTAGACTATATTGTCAGAAGAGACTAGCTCTCATAAAAGACTCCCTCTTAACCAGTCACTGCAGGTATGGGGATTCAAAGCACGCATATACTTCTCAATCTAATAAAGATCAAAGCGGAAAACTTCCGGTTGAACGTGGACGGGGAAATTCTCGGAATAAATAGGAAACCATTTTCCACATTGCAAAAATAGAGGTTTCGTCTATTTCTACGCCCACCTGTCTGAGCTTGCGTCACGCACGGCTAGGAAAAATCTGAAGGGCGGCTTCTTCTGGAGTTGACATTTTCATGCTAAAAGTCACAATCTCCTAGTAGTAAGCTGCCGCTACACTTTCGAAATAGAGCGAATAACCTAGTGGCATGACTGCTACAACCAGGTTTCTTTGATATCCTGTAAGCGAACATCACCTCTGTCATTTAGCAAATTTAAGGTATCGGTAAACAGTAGCGAGATCAATGGGTATTTGGTGCATATAAGTTTGACAAAAAGCTCTTTCTGATCTGTGGATAAGTGGGGCCCCGGGCCTTATTCCTTGTAGTCGTACAGGAACCACCAAAATATTGGCCGTAACTTCCCCACACCATTTTAGTGGATGTGCACTGATCGCATACTGTCAGTTCCTCACAGTCGCACCTATTATGAATATTATTACTACTAGTATTATGATACGCACAAACAACCGCTTACTTTGTTCATGCAAGTATACACGCTCATGTAGTCTGGCTAAAATCACACGGCTGCACCGTCTTCATCCACCATGTTGATGCGTGATTCGATCACCCCGTTTTCAAGCAACCTAATGGACGTGGTGGTCCTAACAGGGCTGTTTCTCAAAAACGCGGTATATGACGGCCTGATTTCAGCCAGCTGCCACCACAGGCCGCAGTATACCTCCGTTGCTAGTTACGACTAGTGCTTGGCCGGTGTCTACGACACAGAGTGAGTGTAATACCTCTGGTGGAGAACAAGAAAGTGGCTAAATATGATAAGAACAAAGCCTGATGCGGGACGGTTTTCTCACCAACATGGTTCCGTATTGCCCGAAAATAATATCGTGACGTTCGACGTTTTGGGGGTCGCATGGAACAATCAGTTTTCGTTTCGTGGTGCTGGTTATCATTTTCCCGGTTACATGACTACCAAAAAGTTGGATGCTGGCGGAAATTTGGCGCAGTTTGGGGGTTACCAAAATCTCAGTAGAATGAGACATAAGAGAACATAGTCCACGGAAAAAATTAAATTTTGAGCTCAGGGAGAAAGATTCAATTTTAATCAAGTAACTCACCGACAGCAGGATCTCCAGAGATTTTTAAGGCAGCCCATAGTCTGTTCTATATTCCTGGGTAAGTAAACGCCAAAGTTGCAGTCTGCTCAGATCAATATCACACTGTTTGAATGATCCAATCGATTCCCAAATAGGCGATAATTCTTTAAAAGCACACTTATTCTGTATCATAATAGTTACGTGAATGATAAGAGGCAATTTCGCTGGAAACATGTTTTTCTCGACGTCCTTTTGTAGTTTCACTAACAGTGCTACTGAAAACTGATTACCAAATCAATCAATTAGTTTTATGAACATGCATTGACATAACTGGTGAAAAACACTCATCTGCAAATTAATTTGGAGTTAACGAGAAACTCGAATGGACCACAGCTGAAACTTTCATGTATGACATTCCACAAATGTATGTGCTCCACAGATGTTGCCTCATGTTTTGTAGGTTATTGAAAATATCGGGGTATAATTCTGCGATGGAACACACTACTCACGAGTTTGCTGAAGCACTTGTCGAGGAGTCATCAGCAACCTTATGAGTAGTGTGTTTCAACAAGAAAAGAACCTGACCGATGGAACACACTACTCACGAGTTTGCTGAAGCACTTGTCGAGGAGTCATCAGCAACCTTATGAGTAGTGTGTTTCAACAAGAAAAGGAACCTGACCTAACTTCTGACGAAATGCACTCCGCTGTTTGAAGGCTTGGGTTACAAGGCAATTCATATTTGGGTTATGCATGAGTAGGAAATTGTATGTACCTTCCGCCATAGAGACCGAAAAAATTTCGCCTATTCTGTGACGTGATGTCTTTTAAGAGGAACAATCATTGGAAGCGGCTCCAAGGACAAGTATTTGTCTTTTTTGAAGGACGTCTTTTAAGGTTGGATCCTCCATAGGAGGAGTTGAATTCAGGTAACCAACCACATAAAATGGCGGTCGCTCTGGCAACGACCAATAGGTGACAGCAAGAGACACCGATCTCAAAGAGCAGAAGTCAACGGGCAAAACAATAGAACCCTGCAGTCAAACAACCAAATCAATTGCGAATAATTGTCCGTCAAAATCAAACTTATAAACACCGATATTTAAGCTGAATAGGGTACAATTTCACCTAACTATTAAAGAAGAGAGATCAGATTAAAAACGATTCTTCCACTGGGTAAAAGCCCACAGACAAAGTGTTGAGGGCAATTACTTTTCAAATGCCCCTCAAGGCAAATCTCAGTAGTGGACTCGCTGCTGCAAAATCATGTTTGATTCTCTTTGAAGGGTGATATAAATCTCATTCTTTTTTCTTCACAGTCTGACCAATGATTTCACCTTTTTAGGCAGAATTCTCAAGGGATACCATTTTGGACTGATCCTCTTTGGTTTTTGCGAATGTGTTAGCGGGGTAAAGGTTTCACTGGTACGCTTCCATGGGGTGGGAAGTCTAACTTGACCAAATTAGAGTCGAACGATGGAAAACAGCAGCTGTGTCAATGCAAAGAAGCAACTGACTATGGTTTCGATGTTTCGGGTAGCGTTCAAACTGAGGTTTACCTAATTTGATTTGTCCCATTCAAAGATTTCCTCTTTACCCTCTGCCATTCGACGGTCACTAAAGTCGAAGAGTATATATGATCTGTGTATGAAGAGGTAAAGTCATAAATTAAATGGTGGCCGACCGGAAAAGCACTTCTGACTCAGCTGAGTGGTGATCTTTTTCTGAAGTTGCCTTTTTGGAGACGATATTCTGTGCCTAAAGAGTAATTTTTCCTCTGAGCATGAGAATTTATTTTCGTACTGATACAGTTGTCTACTTGTCTAGCTGCAGTCTGAGCTTTTTCATCAGGAACACAAGTTTTGGGCCCTCGTAGAATCAATAGAAGGGAGCAAATATGCTTTTTATGGATAAAGGTCACCGGTCAATGTTTGTTTCGCATCTGCCGTACCTCACTCATTCACGCATATCGAATGGTAGTGAGTCCTACGGCACCTTTCAATTTACCACTGCTGCTCGATATTTCGTTTTTTTTTGTGGTTCCAACTTCGATGCTGAATAACAGCGAAAGCAACAGTGGCCTATTGTTAAATACTGCTGGATTGCGGTGCAGGAATTCTGCTGTGGAGTCGTGCCATCCATATGAATGCTGAGCAAAAGCTTAATACAAGTCAACAAAAAAGGGACGGGAATTGGGTGGGTGTTGGCCACCAATGAGTAAGTTGGGCAAGAGGACTAATAATAGGATGAATTTACAAGTACCCTGGGGTTTCGTGTCGTTGATTGCTAATCAGTACATGGTGGGGATTGATCAGCAGATTTGAAACGGCTTGGGTTGTTTAAACACAGCGGGAGAAGTGCGGATACTCCAACATCGTTCTTCTATCACGTGGCCTTCCTCCTTTGTAAAATACCTAAAGGTCTTCATTTCAGAAGAGCTTGGTAAACAATCGGTAGTTTTTATTTGGGCAACGGTGTCCTGTCTGAACGTGGTGTATGGTAGTCAGTTTCCACAATTTTCCATTTTAGAGCAACGGTGTATTAAACAAGAGCACAGTTTCGCAGACCCACTCAACACGGAACATCATAAGTGAACAAGCCCACCAGTCGGCAGCACAGTGTCCTTTTTAGAGAGCTTCAGACCTCAAGGGATTCTTTTTACTCGTTAATGATCTCTCCAGAGGGGAACAGCTGTGTGAACGGTGACTCACAGATTTCGTGACCAAGACCAGTTGTTTTTAAGAGGATTCTTGGAAGGATGAGAAAAAAGCAGGTGAAAGATAAATAAGGGAGGTGTCTGTTTCCGCGTTATCGATATGTCGTATGCAGCCAGTAAGATGACCCGACTGATGGTATCAAACGAAAGTCGATGTGACATGAGATCATTTCTGGATGTAGGAAACATGGAAACACGGCACCGAAACCTAGACGTGAAGATGATTAGGGCCAATGTCAAAGACTTTGTTTCAAACGCCTAACTACGGACAGCCTTATGTGGCATTTAAACAACAACCCACCACACTTCTTCCAACCAGTAGTACCGAGTGACTATGATGGCCAGAACCGTGCTGGTCAGCTCTGTGTGATACTATATAAACTTCGACTGCCTAGCAGGCCTCTTGTCGGTACAATTCGATGGTAGGCTTACAAACCGTTACACTATGATGAGGTTCAATCTGTTCATGACGGTCATGCTATATACTGGTCAATCTTATCGTGACTGGAAGACGGTTGCACCGTGATGCACATATTTGCTCCCATTGTCAGTCACAGAAAGCGATCCTTATCAGAGATATTTCAGGTCGCACGTAGGAAGTCTTTCACAGATTTGTAATCCTAATAACCAGATGTGAGAATAGTAGGCAAGTTCTCACTCCAGAGACGACTACGTGAGCATTATTACTTCATGTAAATTAATCTGTGTAGATCTGGCCTATGGTTTTTTCCACGTTCCAAAATGCGGTCTCAGTACTACCGATTTTTTTATACTGACTTATGTTGTGTGAAAACAGAGCAACTCTGTTCGCTAAGTAAAAGTGGTTACCCGGAGTTTTCCCTGCTCACGATGGCAGTCAATACTCCACACCGCCTCCTTGACTTAATAACGATGATGTGACTGTCACGTGGACGTATTTCTACTGGTGTATTTTTGTTCACCAACTTCACCAACCTTGAACATTAGGATATTAGGTTACGATAGACAGTCTCGGATATCCTCATGTCCTAAAACGTCACACCGAAGCAGCGATATTTCTGAAGCACCGTCTATATGGATAACAGAAGGCTGGGACCGACTCACTTCACGCAGGACTTGGTCGCAATAAATTAAAATAAAGATGGGTCTCCCAATATTCTCTCTCCGAAAGAGATTCTTGAAAAGTATCGACAAACCATCCCGCAAAATCCCAAAAATGTAACCGAAAAATTGCCCAGTGGGTTTCAAGGGTGTGTCACGCTACCTGACTGGGAAGTCCTGACTGGTGGGTCAATCGATCGTCACAACCAGGACAGTTACTGGGTTCGATGAGTCGGGCTCCCCAGTTGCATCGCTCAAGTCTGAACACGTTCGCCTGTCCAAATGTGGAAATTCAGATGCGTCCAACATGCGTTGATGGAGCAGTTATTACACGCTCGCCTCGCATGTCAGATGTCCGGGTATGAAATCCCAGCACTGCCGATGAGCTATAATAAGAGCGAAACTCGAGTCCAGTGCTTCCCTTTGGTTTGGACTCACCGGAATAATTACGCCAGAGCAGGAGGACGACCTTTCAAACGAGAGTGGTGTGGCTATGAACAAAATACCTATCCCGCAAACTCCCCCCCACCAAAAAAGACAACGAATTAGTTGAGGAACGAAGACGCTGAAGGGAGCGATTCATAGTTATCACAACCGAGAGTCTGATTTGAGGAATACCATATAGCACAACAAGTTGTAAGCATTATCAGAAGTCTAGCCATGTTGGCAAGCTAATATTACCCAATTGAATGCTAGAAAATAAAAAAAACCTCCGAGAATTCTCCAACAGCTTTACATTAACTACCATGTTAGTGGATGATTGGCACCAGATCCTTTCCATGTTAGTAGGTTAACTACCGGAAGTAGTCCACCCCACTACGATCATTGTGGTCAAACATGTCTACTGTACGCCTGTGCGGCAGCTTTCTGTGGTGGAAATCTCAAGCGATGTATAACAGTCATTGCCGATTAATCTACTCCTAAAGTTTCATTGACTAGCGTCCCAAACGATAGAAATAAGATCGAATGGTTATAGACGGAAACAGACTGTACAGGATGATCCATTTTTGAACGCTTTTACCAACTACAACAGGCGAACTACTGATCAATATTAGAAATTCAAAATTCAGGTACTGACCAAAAAGCAGAAATTCAGAGTGGACCCAACGTCTGATTTAGGTCTTCTATGAAGAAACGCCTGGCCTCGATAATGTAATCCATGTGGACGATGAATTCAGCGTAACACTAGAAAGTCTAACAAAATCAACTTCCCAACATAACGGAATTTCCGGTTGGATGAATTTATCGTTGGCTCTTGAAGGCATATTTCTTGACAGGCAAATTTAGCTGCATTTGAATGCTTACAAAAGGATAAG